AGGCAAATGGTAACTGGATCATTGACACCGTTGGCCAGACGGACAGGCTGCTCGGGCACGACTCCGGGACTATTCCGTATTATGATCCTGAACCTGGCCCCCACAAAATGCACAACCTCTGTGTAACCCCACTTCTCAAACCCTCAAGAAATACCAAGAATACCTTCCAGTGTCTAAAATAACAATCTGCTGTCAAGGGCATGACATGTGCTCTGTTTACACACCGACACAAGTACAGTATGAACACCCGGAGAGATTGAATAGTTCTTACCTGTTTCTGCGTATGAAACTCTTGCTGGAGAATCTGAAGTTGTGCTGGGGGACACATGACATACTGCTCCCCATGCTGCTTTCCTGTGTCGGGCTCTGCGCCTCTGTGTAGATACGCTGTAAACTCCCTCTGTGATGGATGAGTCTAATCCAGACGTGTGGTGCGCTCACGGCTGAAGTCAGACTTGTACTGAGGCAGAAGTACGGAGAGTGAAGAGTCACTACTGTGTGTGAGTAAAAGGGGGTGGAGTTTGGGGCTGTGTCACAACAGGTTGTGTGTGTGTGCGTGCGCGCGCGCGCTCGGTGAATAAGGACACACATTCCCCTGATTTGCCCTGTCTGCTAAATCAATCCCGAAAACAAAGCCAACAGGAGGGGGTTCAAGGAGAAGTGTGCCATTTCACACCTTCCTGGAGCCAAATGGAGCTCTTTGTTGGCAATAACTGGCCACTAAACACACTGGATGGTGTGTGTCAATCACAGGGGAAGATGGGAACTTCTGCTGGCATGTCCAGACATGAAAATGCCTCCACACTTAATTCTATTTACTGCAAGGTAAGTATCTGTGAGCTTTTGGTTAGTAGACTGGATAAAAAAAAACACAGCACAGGGCTTAAAAAGGGTCAAAACACCACTGTTAAGCCCAAAGAGGGGGACATGTCTGGCGTCACATTGTTTTCAGAGCAAGGATATATGAAATATGATATTTTCTTATCCATGTTTGCAACAGAGGGAACAGGATGCTCGTGAATTCAACCACTGAAATTTTCATAAGCCAAGAGGTGTATGCAAACACATCTTGTTTGCATTTTAGGAGGATGTTCCCAAATTAAATATCCACTACCTAAACGTGAGAGTCACTCTAAGAAGTTATTCGGGATTAATAGGTCTAAACACCCATATCTGGTTAAAGGTGTCAATTCCCA